AATGAAAATGTGCTATTAAAGGGAGAGGAAAGGATATGCAGAAATAGGACCAGCCATTTGGCCTGTATCACATTTATAAGCCACAAAGAAAAGACGCTCCAACTTAGAGAAGGAGCTGGTTGCATATACTGTGCCAGGTGACATTTTGTTCTCCCAAGCTTCTGGCACTGAAAGATATTCATATATTTACAACCTTTCTTAAGGTCATCTCTGCTGTGTCTCCAGCTGAGCCATTAAATATTAATTGGACCTGCTTACCAAAAATAAAAAGCAAACCCTCTAATTTACTTGTGTAATTAACACCTCCCACAAACCAGGTGTCCTCGTGAACCAGGCTGAACAAGCATTTGCTCTTCACAATCCTGAAATATACTATGTGCTTTTGAGACAGACACACACAGTTGCTTGTTCATTCTGCGTGCACAAGTGCATGTAATTATCTGTGGGGAAAAAAAAGCTGTAAATATAACAGAAAATAGGCACTTCAGGTGATTTAGTCAAACCTTACAACTCACACAAAATAGTTCTCTTTTTGGGGTTTTTTCCTCTTCTTTTTTCTTTTTAAGCACTTTGCCTAGATGAGTTTGAACATCTTGTCACTGGTCATTTTATTGACCAAGACTCAATACTGCTATATTTCTCAAAGAGATCAAATTTAACCCATAGTTGTAAGAAGCACAATCATGCTTTGGTTGAACAAGAGCACTTGCATTAAAGAACTTTGGTTCCCACATGCTTAACCATGTAATATTACAGACATTACAATTAGATCTGAAATTGAAGTACCAGCATTACTCATGTCAAGACAAGGTAAAGATGTATTCAGTAATCACTTAGCTGCACAGATTATTTGCACAAGTTTATTAGGTGCTGATTTACCCAGATGAATAACATGCCTGCTCTTCAGTAGGGCTAAGGAATTTGTGGAGTGAAACTTCACAGAACACAAGGTTCTCAATTGTTCAGCCTCCATCTGAACTCAGAGGCACATAAGTTTCCAGAATTGCACAACCCAAGAAAACTAGTTTTGTTTTTGCACTTGGACTGAAGTACATTCATCTTATCAGGATTTAGCAGGCTGGGATCCAGCTCATACCTAAACCTTTTGGGAATCTGTAGTCTAAGTGCTTCTTCACCTTTATTGCCTCAGAAACTTAGTCTGTCAGTCTCAGAGCTTACCTGCAATATAGGTGCTAGGAAAAAGAAAAGTTTTATTTCCTTTAAGAGGTGCCACTGTTTGTGATAAAATTCATCAGGGCACTCACCTAGAAAATGGGGCACTCAGACTTGTGTCTTTCTTCTGAAAAAGCAGATTCAAAACTCCATCCTGGATCTCACCAGAAAGTATCCAAATCATCAGGTTCAGAAAGACTTTGGTAGAGGTGTGTTAAGGGAAAAAAAAATAATAAAAAAAAAAATGAAGTTGAATGTCTCCTCAGTTGCATGGACTAATTAAAGGTTTGTTGTGTTGCAGAGTTTATAATCTGACTACCATTAGGAGGAGGATGTCACCCAGGGATAGTGCAGTTCTCAGCTCCAACCTCTACTGCCAACATACAAGTTTGGAGAATGGTAGAGAACCTTTTTGCAACCAGGAGCTTTCTTTGGGTCCTGCTGCTACTGCTCTGAGGAAATGATGTGCCTCTCACACACTGTTTTAACAACTCATCCTCATTTTCCCTAAGCAGCCACAGGTGGGTGACAGTTCCTACTCCTAGAGAAGTGGCAGGTTTGGGCAGTTTCTTCTGTGCCCACTAG